TTGCTGCGAACATTCCAACTAGAGTATTCTTTATTTTGCAATTTAAATGCAAAGCATTCTTAGGATGCATTTGAAAGCTCATTAATTTCACTTTTACGGTTCTCTCGCACATTTTTCAAATTGCTAAATAGTATGTTTTTTTAAAAACTGTTTATGTAGAAATTCTTTTAAAAAGTCAAACAAACACATTTTTAAATTTTGTAATAATTAATACCCCCGTCCTAGAGTAACATCATTTTTCATATTCTATTTGTCCCAAATAAGTTTCTTTTTTAAGCAATCATCATCGTTTGTGAGAGTAAAGGATAAATACATTGAAAATAGATAAAATCAATAACAATTGCATTGGGATTAGATAAAAGAGCATTTTAGTTTTTTTATTGATATGTGTAGGACGGATAAAAAAACAAATTTATTTTAGAACAAAGGTACTGCTTAATTAAGGGCATGTATAAAGATAGAGTCTAATATGAGCTGTCTATATTAATTAATATCACTAGAGACTATTCTCCTATAATGTAAAGACAATAAGATTTCTGAACCATTAATTTACTAAATATTTTTTTTGTTATATTTCTTTCCTTTTTACCACCCTCATGTAACAAAGTTTTCATTAATAAATATAAAGAGTCGACTTTGAGATGATGTCATTTGTAGTAAACGATATTTCTTCTTCCTTCTATCTCTTTCTTCCACGTCCTTCTATCTCTTTCTTTCATATCACCAAATTTACTTACATGATAATAAAAAGAGCCCGTTATTAGACACCATTGTACATACCTAATCATACGACTGATTTAGCACGCGTGAAAAAGGAAAAAGTAAAGTAATTCCATACAGAGCTGTTTTGTCAGGTCCCAGCTTGGAAACCACATTGAATGGGTCGTCGCCCAGCTTGATAATTGAAATACGCATATGCTGGATATAGGTATCGATTGCGACGGAGCTTAATTTGTTAATTAGGAATATTTTCCGATCGGGATATGCATGGGAGTTTTTGTATCCGCAGTTTATGGGCCGAAATAGGTCATAGGTGACGAAGGCAAGAACTAAATTTATATCCACCCGCCATTTTAAATTATGATATGAAACATCCATATCTTTTTGCGAAAATAAAATTTGCAGACTTTGGCTAATATTAAAATAAGAACATTGGGTAAAAACTAAAATATGAGACATGTGCGTACAAACCACGTACACATCCGCGAGCCATATATAACATACGTCCAAAATCTTGCATCACCTGCTGCGCGTGTGCTTTTTTTTTCGAATGATCAGACCGTTGCCGATGTTTTATATAAAGAAGAAGGTGTTCCATTTTAGTTGCCGATGTTTTATATAAAGAAGAAGGTGTTCCATTTTAAGGAGAAAATGAAACCAAACCTTACAATGCACAGTTAATTAGAAAAAACTGGGTGAAAATCACAACCACAACATTCACTACATCGGACCAAGTCATCTGTGACGGGTCCAAACCCTCACCTTTGACGGGTTTTTCCCTTTGTCACAGATTATTGGTCACTGATGATTTAACCTCACCTGTGACGGTTGAAGGTCTGTCAGTGGTGAGAGACACCTGTTACGGGTTACAATTAGCAAACCATTAGTGGTGAGAGATATTTTTGACGAGTTATAATTAGAACCCGTCACAGATTATGCCACCTCAAATGAGTTAAAAGCAGTCAACCCGTCATTGGTATGAAAAATCAACCAAAAAAAAACCTCGCTGCAACAATGATTTGTAGATCCACGCTAAATAATCCAGAATATTTTAGACTACATTTCTGATCCAAGAACTTACAAGGTTGATGTTACAATGAACATAAAAACAAACTAGTGCAACTGCAAACTACTTGAGAACTACAATGTTCAGATTCCAATTTTCTAGCAAAATCACCAAAGACAATGAAACTCTAAACACTTCCAATGCACCACCTTCAAGAAAAACAAGACACATCATGCGGCTTCAACAAACAAATCAGTGGCAACACATCAGTCATCCACCCCTGCGATTAATCTCCAGTGGCAACACATCATGCGGCTTCAACAAGAACACATGCCGATTAAAAACTTGGCACCGATAACTTGCAAGATCTAAAATCAAATCACAAGAATACAAAACACATACAAACACATGCTCGAAGATGGAGGAGGTGGTGAGGACCGGTGCTCACAGGAGGAGGTGGACTCTGCGGCAGCCGCCGCTCGGGGATGAAGGAGGCGGCTAGCCCTTGGAGGTCGCTTCTCGGTGATGGAGGAGGAGTCGGATCCGGTTTCCCCCGACCTAGATCTAGCATCCCCTAACTCGCCCTTGGAGGAGCTGGATCCGGTGATGGAGGAGGTGGCTAGCCCTTGGAGGGGCTGGATCCGGTGTTGGAGAGGCCGGATCTGGCATCCCCTATCTCACCGACGTTCCCACCGGGCCTCAGCTTGGTGAACTGCCTGACGAGGTGGTTGCGGCGGCCGCTGGATCTCGTCCTTCCTCGGCCGCTGGATCTCGCCACCCTGACGCATGGGACGCCGACGCCCGGCCACATCTGGTCGGCGCCCGGCGGCATCTGGCCGCCCGACGGCTTGGACGCCTGCGCTCGGAAGAAGGGAGAAAGAGGGAGGGGCGGAAGAAGAAGGGAGAGCGCGGGTGGTGGCGGAAGAAGAAGGGAGAGCGGAAGAAGAAGGGAGGCGGAAGAAAAAAGGATAAGACCGGGCGTGGGTTCGGAGCCAGGAGGAGGTTATGATGGCGATATTTTTTAATCATCTTTGACGGGCATACAAATATTTGACCTGTCACAGCTGACTTTACCTCACCTTCGACGGGTTCCCTTTTTGGCCCGTCACAAGTGACTAGTTACCCTGTGATGGTGTTGACGATCGTTATCGATCAGTTTCAACCGTCAATATTACCAAAATAGAGGAGAACTAGTAATGCTTGCAATGCATATATATGTTAGAATAATAATATTCCACTAGTAATAGGTATACTAACCTTTTGCAGAGAATAGCAACGAAGTGGAGGAGAATCGACATCAGCAAAGATGATAAATCAATCGGACGATGTCGATAATCAGACTTATGCATGAATGGGCCAAGAACTTAGAATTGACACGATGAATTGGGCCAAAATTCACAAGTCTACGAAGAGGATCAACAGAGGAGGCCGCCAGCCAAAACATGGGTTGGTTGGGCCGGCCCCTGGTTCTGCCGAACCAGGAGGTTCGGCCAAACCCCCGCTAGCGCCTTTGGATGCAGGGTTGCGGCTGGACAGTGTGGAATAGCCCCCAATGACGGTTGGAGGGTATTTCCGACCATTCCAACCGTCACAACAGTCATTCGGAGGCTATATAAACCCCTCACCTTCTCACTTCACTCACACACCTCAAGCAAGAGCTATCTCATATTCTCTCAAGTTTAGTCTAGTAGTATCAAGCTAGTGGAATAGGAATAGAGTAGAAATCAGGAGTTCGAAAGTCTTCGGAAGAGTTCGGTTATGGCTCTAGTAGCTTTCCTTTCCTTTTTTGTAAGCTTTGTACTTTATTTAGAATACTCTTCTATATAAATTTATGGTATTGAAATACTTTCCGAGTATATGAATGCCTACTTTACATTATGTTCTTGTTATACTAAATATGCTGCTAGCTTATCTGGGAGATGCTTTGGTGCGGGTATATTGTTTGCTTATTCAATTACTCTATATCATGACGATGATATTAGAGTAGTATCTGGTAGTTTAGACGTGGTGTCTAGATTACGGGATATCATTATTTGGGGTTATATGCTGCGGATCAGAGGTGGGCCGTTGATGGTGACAGCTCAGTACGGGTATTCCTCCGCGCATGTATATAATCCTAAGTTAATTCCCTGGGGAGGGTACTCCTCCGTATTTAGCCCAGGTTGTATGGTCATGACGGACTGTCATAAGGAACTCGGCAGTAAGGGGTGGCTTCTCGAAGTACCAGGAGGGCATTGGAGAGGGCATCGGATAGAGGGTATTAGCTACTATATTGGATAACTAGAATGTATGTATACTATGTATACTAGAAGTATAGGAATAGATTATCTTTCTCTTTTTTTTTCCACTTAGTTTAGATAATTTAATATGAGAATGAGTAGCTACTGCTTGTGTGTCACTCTACCCTTGGGTTATCTTAACATATAAATTATTAGCCAAGTTCTCTCTACATGATCTTCCCACGGGATAAAATAAATACGATACCCTTGGAATACTCTCGGGTGAAATGCTACAATGATATATCCGTGCGCTTGTGGATGAACTCTGTAACCGTAATATAATAGAAGTATTTATGCGCCATTGCTGGGAATTATATTTCTAGTAATGTCGTCAAGAAATACCAACAAGCATTTCTGGCGCCGTTGCCGGGGAAGATTCATAATAAAGATTACTTGAACTAATACTTTATATTTACCTATGTATAATCATTTTCCTTTGTAGGCTAACCTTGGTTGTTTTCACTTCTGTTTTGAAAACAGGGTAGTGCATGACCGGTTTCAACTTGCCGGAAAACTTCAAAGAAAATCCAGAAGATTTCTTCCGGAGTGTCAGGCCGCGAGTCGTTGTTCCGCAGAAAACTCTACCAACAGACAAACCAGCCATACCAGCGCCACCGACCTTCAAGACTATGGCTGACAAGACCTTCCGCGAGTTCGTTGCTCCCTCTGCTGAAAATGTGGCCATTGGGCCGCAGATCAACATTGGAGACGTGGATTTCGACCTGAAGTCCAGCCTTATCACGATGGCGCATGCTAGCCCGTTCTATGGCAAGCCTAACGAGGATGCCAACACTCATCTGCAGCAGTTCCTGGAGATCTGTAGCACGTACACCATCAAGGGCGTCAGTCAAGAAGCCGTCAGGCTGAGGCTGTTTCCATTCTCCCTCCTCGGGAGAGCGAAGCAGTGGTTTTACGCCAATCGTGCTGCTGTCAACATCTGGGACAAGTGCTCTACGACATTCCTCTTGAAGTTCTTCCCGATAGGCAAAACCAATGCCCATCGTGGACGAATTTCTAGTTTCCAACAGACGAGGGACGAGTCTATTCCTGAAGCATAGGAACATCTGCAAGAGTATGTGGCCGCCTATCCTCATCATGGGATGGACGACTAGCTAATTCTGCAGAATTTTTACAATGGACTCACACCCACGTCCCGCGATCATCTAGACACGGTAGCTGGAGGGGCTTTCTTTTGTAAAACGGTTCGAGGATCCGTTGACTTAATAGAGAAGATGGTCTCCAATATGGGTTGGAGGGAGAAATGACTCCGGACCCGTTAGAGAGGCATGCACACCGTCAAGGAGACGGAATTACTTGCTGCCAAGCTGGACCTCCTCATGCAACACTTGGACGACCACGAGAAACGGCCACAAGGCACCGTCAAGGCCATGGACTCACACGTTACGTGTAAGGTCTGTGGCGGCACGGGTCATTCTGGGAATGACTGCCCAGAACCCGTGAGGAGGCGATGTACATGGGCAACAACAACCACAACGGGTATCGTCCATAAGGAGGACAGGGGTTGAACCAGCCATGCCCATACTATCAAGGAGGCAACAACAACAGTAACATCTCTAACATACTCTAATCTTGTTTATGTAATTCGTCGAGTTATCATATATCTTACATAATCTCTGATAATATCGCTACCTAACCTACAGTCGGCTAACATCTGTTACTAGAAGGCAGCCGATTAGGTTAAATACCGATGTTGACTTAAATTATATAAGATATCCACCACTCTATGACACATCCAACGGCTTGATTGTCTAGATATTGTCCTTTTTTTCATACTTATACTTGTATTAGTTGAGTTTGATCTTATGAGTCGTGATTAGAATCCCAATCTCTAGCCTGTCTTTGGTTGCTGATTAGGGTAGTATCGGAGTTTCAGCCGATCTTACCTGATTTAACTACATTTATTTCATATGCTTGATTGACATCTTAAATATGCCCTTTATATTAAGATCTTGTCGCATTTAAGTATATTAGGCTTTCGTTTGGTATATTTTATTTGCTGTGATATCTTAATATAGAGTGGTATCGGAGTATTAGCCGATACATGCTAGATCTATCTTGATCGGCTATGTTATGAACACATATAGACTCGTTATTAATATATATTTCGATCTAAGTGATTTATACTGTCTCGGCGTGGCAACTGATCTATCCCAATCACTTGATTTAAGTATATATCGGTATAAGGACTATATACCGTTAATATCTACAGCCGATCGAGTAGATTTAGTTCTTTCTTATTTATTAATGACTGCTGATCGATGCATATATGACATCGGCTCAAAGATAAATGATATGTCATCGGCACTTAGCCGATCGGCTATCATTTATGGATTTAACCGCGGTTTCTTTATTTTTGTTCTTGTTGATTGCAGGATCAAATCAACTGGCACGCTCATACACCTAAAGGCAAGCTTTTGGACCTGCACTGAAGTTAAGCAGATCTCCCAGGCCTCATGTTTTTACATCAACAGAATGGCAACAGTCTGCTGATTCTCAGTTCGCCAACATCAACAACATGATGCAGCAACAGCACGATGACCTTCAAGCGTACTTCCGTTTTCAGGGGTTCAATCCTTATCAAGGACCCTGAGCGAAAGCCAAGCTTGGGGAAGACACCTCTCCCCCTCCCCACTAAGGTAACTTGTATCACATTACATATTTCCCTCTCCTATTGCATATTTGCTTTCCAATTGCGTCTTATAAACTGAAAACAACATAAAAATTTACAAAATAGAAAATACCAAAAGGATAGGATAGGTTTGGATCATGCTAGGTAAGACAAGCTAGTTCTCTTTGTTGAAATGATGAATAGTTGCTCTGTTTTATATCTCTTATATATGGGTTCATAGGTAAGTGCTCTCTCAAAGGTTAAATATAAGTAGCCAACAATTATCTAGGAACCTGAGGTAAATAGGCTGCACTTGCTAATCTGAGTCTAGGTTGTTGCGAGATATGAGATAGTAAATGAGAGTTACTATGATCTTGATCCTAGTTTGACTTAAATTTCGGATGTTTTGTTTTTCAAAATGATAAATTTGAAAGTTCCTCAATTGATATAAATTCCTACCAGAGCCAAAAATGTGCTATCATGATTGAGCCATTTAAATTTTGGTTACTTGCCATTCCATTGAACTTTATCAAACTCTTGAGACTTGTGTAGATACTTCTCATGCTCTATGATCAAGATCATACACCCACATAAATGTACATGCCAAACTCCTACACTGGGAGCTAAGCAAATATTCCATTCCATTCCATTTCCATGTTACCACCAAAATAAATTCTCTATGCTTTCATGTGCTTTCTTCTCTTAAAAAGAAAAATCCTTTTGAAAAGAAAAAGAGAAGGGGGAAAGGCATGGTTATAAAAAAGAGAATAATAAAGTTATGCTCCACCAAGCATGAGCATGATATTGAAAAAAAAATGTAGCCATCCCCTCTCCTAATCAGTAAAGGAAAGATTTTTGGGAGAAGAAAGTAAGCACAAAGGAGAAGCATTTTCTTTATTTTCTCTCATAAACCATTTCCACCATATATCACACACACATTGCACGATCTTGATCTTGAGTATGTTTAGTTATCTGCTTTAGTCTAAGCTTTTGACTTAGTAATAAATGTGAATGCAAGTATGCCATGTTTGATCCCTACTGAGTTCCACATATCAAACCTTAGAGTAGAAATTAAAAAGGCAAATCTTGTGAGGAATTCATATTGATACACTTGGAGAGACTGAGTGGATTATTTGAGGAACTTGGCTTTCTTTTGCAAAATCATTTGAAAACTTTCGGAATAAGAGTTGAATAAAGATTGGATGATTGGTGCTCTAATTGTTGTTCTATCTTTCAACCAGCCAAGGCGAGGAGTAGCAGTGTCACGTGGGAATCAGGGATAAGGATAAGCCACCGCGCCAAAGATTATTTAATCTGAGAGAGAGTGCATATACCTTGCACCTGTATCTTAGAGATATACAGCATAGTAGCAACTCCTCAGCACCCGTACAAATGTGTGAGGCAGGTTAGGAACCAACTGAAGATGCACCCGGATGGACTCAAGCTCCACGCCACAGCATCGTAGTCTCAAACTGGGCAAGTGTCAGTGAGGACCGATGGCATGCGCCTCATGACATACATTGGGGGGGGACAACCAACCTTCCAGATCAAGTGGTGTGCCTCCATCTCCAAGTAAATGGCGCTCGAGTTCCTCTCATTGGGACTTGGGTGAAATCACTAGGAGAATGGACACCCTTGATATGCAGACAGGAGAGATCCAGTACAACCTCATGGAAAATATAGCACAAACGCAAGAATGGCAACAATCTGTTGACGCTGAGTTCGCAAACTTCAACAACATGATGCAGCAACAGCACGATGACCTTTAAGCGTACTTCCGCTTCCAGGGGTTCAATCCTTACCAAGGACCCTGAGTGAAAGCCAAGCTTGGGGGGGGAGACATCTCTCCCCCCACTGGGGTAACTTGTATCACATTGCATATTTTCCTTTCCAGTTGTATGTTTTCTTTTCAATTGCATCTTATAAACTGAAAACAACATAAAAATTTGCAAAATAGAAAATACCGAAAAGATAGGATAGGTTTGAGTAATGCTAGGTAAGACAACCTAGTTCTCTTTGTTGAAATGATGAATAGTTGCTCTGTTTTATATCCCTTATATATAAGGTTCATAGGTAAGTGCTCTCTCAAAGGATTAAATATAAGTAGCCAACAATTATCTGGGAACCTGAGGTAAATGAGCTGCACTTGCTAATCTAAGTCTAGGTTGTTGTGAGATATGAGATAGTAAATAAGAGTTAATATGATCCCGATCCTAGTTTGACTTGAATTCCGGATGATTTGTTTTTCAAAATGATAAAATTTGAAAGTTCCTCATTTGATATAAATTCGTACCAGAGCCAAAAATGTGCTATTATTATTAAACCATATACATTTTGGTTACTTGCTATTCCATTGAACTTTGTCAAACTCTTGTGACTTGTGTAGATAATTCTCATGCTCTATGATCAAGATCATACACCCACATATATGCACAAGCTAAACTCCTACATTGGGAGCTAAGAAAATATTCCATTCCATTTCCATATTACCACCAAAATAAATTCTCCATGCTTTTAGGTGCTTTCTTCTCCTAAAAAGAAAATTCCTTTTAAAAAAAGAAGGGGGGAAAGGCATGGTTATGCTTGATGGAGCATAGCATTCTCCTAAAGTTATGCTCCATCAAGCATGAGCATGACATTGAAGAAAAAAATTGTAGCCATGCACTCTCCTAATCAATAAAAGAAGGAGTTTTGGGATAAGAATGTAAGCACAAAGGAGAAGCATTTTCTTTATTTTCCTTCATAAATCATTTCCACCATTTGTCACACACACATTGCACGATCTTGATTTTCAGTATGTTTATTTATCTGCTTTAGTCTAAGCTTTTGACTTAGTAATAAATGTGAATGCAAGTATGACATGTTTGATCCCTACCGAGCTCCACATATCAAAACCTTAGAGTAGGAATCAAAGAGGCAAATTTGGTGAGGAATTCATATTGATACACTTGGAGAGACTGAGTAGATCATTTGAGGAACTTGGCTTTCTTTTGCAAAATCATTTGAAAACTTTCGGAATGAGAGTTGAATAAAGATTGGGTGATTGGTGCTCTAATTGTTGTTCTGTCTTTCAACTTCTCAAGGCAAGGAGAAGCAGTGTCTCGTGGAAATCATGGGTAAGGATAAGCTACCGTGCCAAAGATTATTTAATCTGAGAGATAGTACATATACCTTGCACCTGTATCTTTGTGATATACAGCATAGTAGCAAGTCCTGATGAACAACCAAGTTTTTGTTTCCTTTTGTCCTTCACTCAGGATGAGCAAAGGTTCAAACTTGGGGGGTTTTGTTGACGGTCGTTATCGATCAATTTCGACCGTCAATATTACCAAAATAGAGGAGAAATAGTAATGCTTGCAATGCATATATATGTTAGAATAATAATATTCCACTAGTATTAGGTATACTAACCTTTTGCAGAGAATAGCAATAAAGTGGAGGAGAATCGACATCAACACAGATGATAAATCAAT